CTCATCCTCGGGCACCTCCACCGTCCAGATGCCCAGCGACTCGCCTCCCAGTAGTCTCTTGCCAGGCTTGGCCCGGGTCTGAACCATAGCCTTACTCGACAGCGCCAACGCATCAACCAGCTCCGCCATCCGGCGCGACGACACAAAACTGCGCGTCAGGTATTCGTTCTCGGATACTTGCATCGCCAGGTTCATGCACTGCACCAGAATTTCGCTGGTGAGTACGTGGGCAGAAAAGTACAGCGCATTGTGATAGTCCAGGAACAGTTCGGGGATATAGGTGACCCGGATTTCTTCCAGCTCCGCCTCTTCCGCTTCTATACCGCAAGAATCCATTAGCAGGACTCCCAGCAGACCATGCCTTGGACGCAAAACTTACCGTCTGCGGGCGCAGTGAGCCATTCGTCCAGCACCGCGTCCACATGCATGCTAATCTCATCCAGAGTATATTGCAACTCATCTCGAAGATCCTTGATTGCACCAGAGTCCCGTCTACGTTTGCTCCTGTATGTCACATCAGTCAGAAGACCGTCCCGCTCCCAGACATAGTTCGATACGCACTTGTCAATTTTCTTCCAGCACAGGCCGAATCGCTCCAACCCGTCAAACGCCAGCGTTAGCTCTTCCAAGTCTCGCATTGTTTGCGACTGCATCACAAGAACATTTGTTTGCTCATCAGAGGGGACGCCGTTGGGAATAGACCGATTCCGCTTGTGCGCAGACCCCAGCAGTCTCGACTTCGTCGGGCTACTAGGCTCTGGAGTTGCGCGGTCACTCCCGTTTGGAATACCATATCCGAACTCCGCTACGTCAAAACCAAAAGATTCACGCGATATGTCGGATAGCCTCATACGTCGGCTCAACTCTCGTGCCGCAGCAAGTTTGCCGGACACTTCGCCGGGAGACAATCAGCATTGTTGCCCTAGCCAACAAAAGAAAGGAATGACTCACAGTAGAATTTTCTATACAGAAAAGCGCCAAGCTGGCATATTCTGCCCCATTGTCCATCTACGTACCGGAGCCATTCGAGACTGCGGATCAACCGCTCGTCTGAGCGAGAAATTTCGGTTCCGATAAAGTCTGTCTTCACTGGTACCAACTCGCGGGTTCCGTCGTCTCTGCGAACAACTTTGGAATAACGCTTCACTGTCCTCGTGTGCTCAACTGCAGAGACAGCGCTGCTGATCCAATTCCACTGGCCTTCCAAGACAGCCTCGATATTTATATCGTACTTCTCGATCAATCGAACTTGCTGCTTCCTCTCTCTTGGATCAAGAATCTCGATGAGCACTCGGCCGAGCACGGAGTGGGTCTGTTGAGCAGGCAGCAGGGAAGCATAGAGTGGTATCGCCTCGTAGATGCCAGCATCCTCGAGATTTGCGATGTAACCGATGACATTCACGGATGCCGTCTCAAAGAATTGAGTGTCAGAACGGACGTAGCCAATGGAGCTGGCGATAATGTAGAGATGTGTCGCGATCCGTAATGCATCATCGTCCTCGGCGGCGATGAGCAACGAGTCGTCCACATTGGTTGGGGACAGATCCGGCACAAATGAATCTTCAGAGCCCGTCTTTGCCACTTGCGAGACCGCTTTGGCTAGCGAGTAGAAGAATGTGTCATATCCTTTGCCTAGGATCGCAGCTTGAATCGTGCGGTAGGGGTTGCGCGCCTCCACTCCAATGCGTTCGTTGCCCTTGGTGTACTGCACAAACTTGTTGAACTCACTGTATCCAACGGGCTCGGGAACAAAGGTAACCGGCGCAGTAGGCGAGTGGCTCAGCTTGCGCCGGAACTGTTTGCAGAACCCTTGATAGCGTGATAAAATAACACTGTTGAAGTGGACGTAGAGGTAGTCATCCCAGCTCTGACAGACCTTGAATGCGGCCTCGGTCTCCCCACAGAGTAGCGCATAGACAGCCCGTTCGAAATCTTCGATGTTAGGGTTCCGCGCCAAAGCAGAGCAAGCCGCTCGCCAGGACTCTTGAGAGCGAAAGTTCATCATGCGCGTCATTCCATCATCAACAGGTGTCCGCTCACCCCCAGACTCGGGATCAACACTGGAGCCACATAAACTGACAGCTTTCCAGTTTTCCAGCCGTTCTTCGGCCCAATCCCGGATCTTGGTCCAATTTTCTCCCTGTCTCAACATCTTCCAGCACGTCATCCAAGTCGCGCGCTCGTAGAATTGATCCTGCTTCTGAAGGTGCTGCTTCTGCCGGGTCACCGCATCCGGATCCAATTGCGTAATCAATGGCTCCGACACGTCAGAAGTCAACAGAGACGCCGTGATGCCAGGGTCCTTGGGTTCGAGAGGTTGAGGCCAAGCACGAAGTCTCTTCTGTCCCTTGATGGTCTCCTTTGTGTAGAGCCAGCCATGTGTCCAGTGTCCCTGTCCTCGCTCCGCCTGCGACTCCAGCTCGGAGATCAGCGAATCAATATCCTGAGGCGTAGTCGTCGCCGTGTGCTCCAGCCACTTCATGATAATCACGCATTCGAGCGCGTAGTGGTCCGCGCTGAGGAAACTTTCCCAGACTTCGCGATCAGATGAGTACCGATGGAGCTTCTGGAAGACAGTCTCTTGCGCTTTTTTGCAGCTGGCTCTGCTGGGGGGATCGTCAATGCTGATGAGGTTGAGAAGAAGCTGCCAAGTATTTGCCTCGAGCTGTAACCGTTGCAGCTCCTCCTCCGTCTTAGGATCATGCGATGCGGCGCCGTTGGTTCGACTTGTGCTCCAGCCCATTTTCGCGCGTTTCAGGGTGTTTTGCTTCGAGATATCCTGGATTGCATCTTGCGCGAGAACCTGGTAGCTCTTCACCAATTGATACGCTGCTTGGTAATTTCCAAAATCGTCGGTGCGGCCTTTCTGCTTGAAGCGATCCAACCTTTCCGCAAAGGCTTCGATCTGGCGCGTGACACGATCCGCTGTGCGGCGAAGGGGATGTAACGCTTGTTGTGCGCCGGCCGATGTGAATAAGCCGGGGGTAAACACGTCTGAAACACCTGCGCCAGATCGAGTCAGCACTTTCTCGCCAGTTCCCAGATACCTAGAGAGATATACCTCGACCATTTGGGGCAGGAACGAGCTCTAAGGGCGATTCGGTGCCATTCAAATCTTCAGCGGACTCTTCCTCCAACTCGTCCTCTTCGTCGCCATTTTCCACGCTTTCATCCTCGTATTCATCCCCATCGTTGATGCCTTCTTCCTCTTCATCTCCTTCCTCGTCATCCTCCATGGGTTCGTCGTCGTCGTCATCGTCATCGATTTCTATAATTTCAGGATCGTTAAAGGCATTACGGTGCGACTGCAGGTAAAACAGCAGTTAGTATAGTAATATGGCCAGCCTGCGCAACCCAACGGAAGAACGAACATTGACCGATGTAAAGCCAGCAGTGGAAGCTTGAGAGCCCACCGCGGTGGACAAAGGAGCCATGAAGCAGACGCACGCAGTGAGCGCCTTAAAAAGATGATATTAATCCCTCTGATGTCCGGAGTGACTTGAGAGCCTCCGCTTTAGGGGATGCGCTCTGTAAAAGAGAAGAGTAAGTGTCAACGATAATAAATAGCAAGCTCCCAGACGGTTTGGGACAGGACTTCCAGCACTTTTGCCCAGCGAAAGTTTGGGTTCCCCGTTGGCTGGGCGTTGTTTTGGTAACTAAGCCAGATATGGACTAGCGCAGATGCGTAGACACGCATAAAATTTCAATTCCCACGATCTGTTTTCTTTCTCTTCTTCTTTTTCTTTCATCAAATGTCTATAGGCAATCATTAGAGTCTCGGAACGAGCAGCTTCTCTATCTTCGTTCAGGTCATACGGCCTCTTTGCGTGCTCAAGATTGTCTTAGAGCAATCTGGCAGTTCCTCAACTAGCCTAGCTCTTCTCATTGTGGGAGCTGAGACTGCAAAGGAATCTGTCACATACTTTGGAAAAATCACCAGCATTGCTCTTGACCAGCATTAACTTATTTTTTTTAACGTAGACATACTGACAGCGATTTGTACTCATGAAGAGCATCTCTATATAAGATCTTTAGTTTCCCTGAGTTTGTTGCTTCATCCTCAGCTTCAGCAAGCTTGCTTTAGGGCAACTGGGAGTTTTTGCATCCTCTCCTTTCTCTTGGTAGAAAGCATTACAGCACTCGTACAAGGCATTGATCTGAGCCTGGCATCTCTCTTCTTTGTATGAATTCTTGGTTAGGCAAGCTACTCAAGTTAGCCTTGAATGTCGTCTGTTTGGGGCCATGATGCTATCCGCAGGTGATCAGAAGTACCTTGAATCGCACACTAGATTGGTCAGTACAAACATGTCTATATGACGATGAAGATGTGTTTGACCTACGGCCCTTGGATGACACGGAGGATCGTATGCCAGATCATCTTTCAAATTCCCCTTGCGGTTCAATTGCTGTTAGCTCACTTTGAGCCTCAATTGGCTTCACACTCATAACTCTCTTACCATGACGCAATAGTTAAATCTCGAACAACACAAGTGACTGTCTCAAATTGGGATTCTATGATCTTTCAGAGCGGTTTAAATGGTACCTTAGGGTCTCTATGACAGATATCTGAGGTTTTGTAAATGAATTGTTTCCAGTGCCAGAAACACCTACAATAATATACTGACCTAAGGCCTCTATCCAACCTGCTTGATGCTGGGACCTGCGCCGCAAAATAGATTCTCCGCCACTCTTTCACTGGCGGTGGGGTCCGTCGCTTTCCATCATCTTCAGCGTCGATTACTCCTACAACTTCAATACTCCATCACATATCCAGTTCTTTTCGCTTTCCCCTCTGCTCATTCCTAGCGCTTCGTGATATCTACACTCGCCCTCAGGGTTACCGGTGAGTTTAAATTTTCTGCTTCGGCATCGCTATCCCTCCACCTTGTATGCGACTTCCCCGCTTTGGGACGAACACTGACAGGCATGTCGATTTCAGGAATTCTCAAGCAACAGCAGTCTTCTCATCCTTCCATCTTATCGTCTGATTACCCGTCAGCATGGCCGACAACGGAACACCAAGCGAAGCCCCCGCCCCGGTCGAGCACCTCAACATCAAGGTCACCGATAACAACAACGAGGTCTTCTTCAAGATCAAGCGCACAACACAGCTGAAGAAGCTCATGGACGCCTTCTGCGAGCGCCAGGGAAAGCAGCTGTCTACCGTCCGTTTCCTGTTTGACGGTACCCGCGTGCGTCCCGAAGACACACCTGACACTGTACGTGCAGCATCCTCTCTGTCTGTCCACTCTGAACCCGTAAACTAATGACCGGTTTTAATACAGCTCGAAATGGCCGATGGCGATACTCTGGAGGTTCACCAGGAGCAGATTGGCGGTTAGACAGGGTTCTTTGGATGCTCCAATACAACGAATTCATCGTCTTTCAGTTTTTAGTTGCTCGCATTTTGAGAAATAACCGGAGTAGAGGTGTTTTCGTTGACACCGGCAAGCTTTGCTTGATCTGAGTGCTCTTCTGACTTTCAGATTTGTGGTTTTTTGTTTGGGAATACAGACTCGCTACATGCGTTGAAAAGTGGGGAAAGCTAAGAGAGTTACGAGGATGTGAATAGGCCGTCCTGAACACTTCACATTGCATGGCATCTGACGTGAATGAGTTATGATTCATATTTGTTCTTTCATGAAAATTTCTTCGTATAAATGCTGGCATTGGCATTCGTAGTCGCGAACCAAGACGGTACTAGAGTTTATAGAGTTGCAGGCTCTCCCCGGAATATCATAAGAGACGACCAAAAACTATCCAGCAGCCCACCATCGAGGACAAAACTGTACAGGAACCACGAAGCATAAGGCACTGCATCCGAACATATAAATCCCAGTATAATCATTCATCCCAAACAGCAGCCTTCGCCTTCTCCTCCTCCTCTTTTCTCTTCGCCTCTTCCTCCCTTTCCCGATTTCGCCGCCGAATCTCCTGTTCTTTTATCGCCCGATCATACGCCCGCTGCTCCTCCGTCCTCTTTGGGGCGCGGACACCCAACGCGCCCGCAATCAGCCTCCCCGCAACAGCAGTCTGCTTCTCCGGCCTCCTTGCCGGCGACCTAGACCCTGACCCTCGCGGCGGGGACGAGCTCAAGCCACGGCCCGGTAAGGGCGCGCTCGACACCCAGGGCTGGGACGTCTGCGGTGAGATGGGTGTCGGGGGAGGATCGAGCGGCCCCTCTGCGCTGGCACTGATGGAGGGCGAGAGTGTTGAGAGGTCAGGTGTAGCTGCAGACGACGAGCGGCTTTGCTCGATCTCGGACAGGGAGGGGTCGGAATCTGCTTCGTCTTCCCAGGAGTCTGCGACGACAGGGGCCTTCTTTTTGGTGGTAGGTGTCTTCACTGTTGGGCGGGGGATGTCTTTGATGGGGGCATTGTCGTTGAGGGAGAGTTGGCGGACGGATTGCTCCAGCTCCGGGCTGGCCGCTGGGATTGACATTGGTGGGTTAGTTGTGGTTCGAGGTAGTTTGCTGGGAGGGTAGAGGCGTAGAGTCCACGAATACGTTGTGGAATAGCTCGTTCAGAGGGGAGAGCAATGTGCAATGGAAAGTATCACCGACCCTGGGATTTCTGACTGGACTTTGCGGCCATGCCAGCCGGTCCTGGGTATAAAATATATATATATATATATATATTCGACGAAGGTAACCGATGGACGTTCGAGACTCAAACCCGCTGAATCCAGAATGCAGATATTAATAGCACTGAGCTCTCCGATGAAACAAATGAATGAATGGCGTCAGACATGGAGTTGACCCCGCCGAGCATTTAGGGTTGCAGCTGTTGATTGGCTCTTCTGCTGTCCACATCGTACGTACAATCCGACTGTTGATTTACTGCCTTTTGTCCTCTGACCCGTATACAGCTCTTCCTTTTTAAGTCATTGGGATTTAGCAGATCGTTCGATTTGTCCCCCGTTGTTACGGTCTTACCTACAGCAATTGGAGATCCTGAGGCTGAATTGCATGTATGACATCAGATTGAATTTTGGTGCCAAGCGGAATAGATCTGGTCCGTTTTCACTGCTTGTTTATCTCTCCTACACTCTCTACTGAGCCTTATAAAAGATATCTACTATCCCAATCCTCTCTCGAGCGACGAAGACAGAGCACGTGAGGCGCTCCCCGCTACGTAATTCGTTTCCCGAGTAGGACTAATATGCGTATTCCGAGAAGGCCAATCAGAAGATGTAGATCTTCTCGTAAATGGCAGGCGGGGGTTCTCCGAGACCGGCGGCTTGTAACTGCTTTCCCGAGGTTTCCTATGCTCCATCAACGCTATATAATCGGCTGTTCTCCATGAGTGATGGGTCATCATTGAGGGTAGATTGGGATATCTGCTCGCCTTGGGGAAAGATACCTCAACTCAATCGCTGGTTGAACGTTTAGAGAATCCTTCATCTCTACCTCTCGGGCACTCTTCGGTGGTGCTTTAGTGCCTTAGGATTCTAGGAGTGTTGTTTATATTAACATTGCCATCAGCAGTAGGATGACGGGTCTACAGCTCCTGCCTCTACGGGCACGGAGAACTCCCATTCTGAGACTCTCGCGATTCTCAACATCATTACGGAAGTCCCGCTATGCGGACACCCTTCCGAATCTCAAGATAGGAGCGCATACAAGAGTCTTGTTTCAGGGATTCACAGGTGCGCTATTGATTGCGTGTCATTCGGTGGTATGAACTAACATTTGCAGGACGGCAGGTATGTGTAAATCATGACTCTCCAGGACGGCCAGAATGGTGTCATATTGACGACCAAAGGCTACTGCCAATGTCAAGGAGTCCCTCGCATGGGGTACGAAGATTGTAGGAGGTGTAAAGCCCGGCGTGGAGGGTGAGCATCTAGGACTTCCTGTATTTCCTTCTGTGCGAGCGGTACGAATATCCTAGCTTCAATTCTTCATGGACATCATGCTCATAGTTGCAGGCTCAAGAAAGGGCCAAGCCCGACGCATCAGCCATCTATGTCCCCGGAAACCAGACAGCAAGGGCCATCGAGGAAGCGATTGAGGCAGAGATTCCGCTTGTTGTGGCCGTAGCGGAGCATGTCCCAATTCATGATATGCTTCGTGTTAGTAGATAGAAAATATTGACTTTCCATAAAGCTGACATCTTGCAGGTGCACTCTATGCTGCAGACCCAGTCCGAAACGCGGCTGGTAGGAGCAAACTGCCCCGGAATCATCTCTGCAATTGGCAAGTGCCGTATCGGATTCCAACCTTTACCGTGTTTCTCACCTGGGAAGATCGGAATCGTAGCTAAATCAGGAACACTAAGCTACGAGACCGTCGCATCGACGACGCGCGCTGGTCTTGGACAGAGCCTGTGTATCAGCATGGGCGGAGATATACTGGCGGGAACCAGTTTCGTCGATGCGTTGAAGGTTTTCGAGGAGGACCCTGACACAGAAGGTATCATCTTGGTAGGGGAGATTGGTGGAACTGCGGAAATTGATGCAGCAGAGTGGATTCGAGACTACAACAAGAGGACCGCCAACCCGAAGTACGTACGGTCTGAACATGTTCTTTGGTACACTTGAGAACTGACACTCCTTAGACCTATTATGGCTCTTGTTGGCGGTCGAGAGGCTCCTCCTGGTCGGATCATGGGACACGCCGGCGCTTGGATAGCTCCTGGTGAGCCAGATGCAACGGCCAAGCACAGAGCTCTCGAGAGCGCTGGCGTGACAATGGTCGATCACCCAGAAAAGTTTGGTCAGGGAATGAAGGCGCTTTTAGCTCACAGAACCGCGGCGAGTGCTACGGTAAGATTGTCTGATAGCCTAGTTCGTGGCGAGACTGAACAAATACCAGCCTACCAGTTCTAGCGGCCATAAAAGAGGCCTACATACAGTGCGACGTCACTCGCATGGTAGTAGTCGTGTATCGCCATGGTTGATACAAAAGCGATCTCTCTATGTCAAGGAATTTCAGGCCTTGGAGATGCTGAAGCGGAAGCCTATCGCAGTGAACGAGGACGCTCCTTCAAATTCAGATGTCTTGATCACAATGACAGTGGACAGAACAGCACTGTCGCCCTGTATAGTTGCTTCAACAAGACCGGATCTTGCTGAAGCGTCTTCCGCTAGATTCCCGTTCGCTTATACAACGCAGGAGTTCAGCAGTACCAGCCCAGTCCTCGAAGCTGTTGCCTCCCACCTCCATCTTCCAGAAACCGCACACGGAAAGGTGGCAGAGCTGACACAGGCTCTTTGGGAGATCTTCAAGGAGAAAGAAGCCTATCTACTGGAAGTCCGGGCCAATTTCAGCCATGGCGAGATGCAAGTTCGAGGTGCACGTTTCGGGTTTGACGATGCGGCGTTCCGGAGCTCGGGACGTCAAGAAGATGTGCACCGCCTCAGAAACGAGGAAGAAGAGATCCCTGAAGAGGTTGAAGCGGAAAAGGACGGAATCGTCTACGTCAAGTATGTCTCTGCTTGGAAGACAACGGTCTACATTGTGAGTGATTTGCTAAGGAGCGCTATATAGGCTACAAGGGGAGGGAAGCATCGGGACACTAGGTGAGCTTGCCCATGCTACAGAGTACAGTCAGAGCTGACCAGATAGTCAATGGCGCGGGCCTAGCCATGAACACCGTTGATGCCCTGTCCATCTATGGCGGTCACTGCGCCAACTTCCTTGACACAGGGGGCAAAGCAACTTCCGAAACGGTCAAATCGTCCTTCCGGATCATTCGGTCTGATCCACGGGTCAAGACCATTTTCGTCAATATCTTCGGCGGCCTAACACGGTGTGACATGATCGCCGAGGGGATCATTATGGCCTTCCGGGACTTGGAAATGAACGTCCCGGTGGTAGTTCGACTGCGGGGGACGAATGAGGAGATCGGACAGAAGATGGTCAGTCTAATTTCTGACTATGGTATACTTGACTAAGCTGACTGAATACAGATTGCTGAGAGTGGGCTTCCCCTGCATGCCTTTGACAATTTCGAGGATGCGGCCAAGAAGGCGATCAGCCTGGCCAGGAGTACGTAGATAGCCAGTGATTGGACCCAAAGTGTACAGTCGTTTCATCGTAGACCTAAGAATAGTAAACTGACAGGAGACGAGAAATCAGTTGTCCAGATTCTGTGAAATGGCATCGTACGCTCTGATCCACCGTGGCCGGAATCAAGACGAAAGCCACGCAAGCTCCGATGATCGGTTTGTCAGAGATACTGGGATTGACAAGGCATCCAGGGCAAATGCAGAAGAACATGATGAGAACAATGTTAGTATCTTCTAGATTGTGTACTTAGAAGTAAAGCATAAAGAATTCGAGTATCAAAGCAATTGACAGTGTAGAAGTCCAATAAGAATCCTTAAAAATGGCATCATCTCTTCAACCTCCGATGCTCCATAGCAATGATTTCTCACCGGATTCACCCCGCGATCTGCGCCCCGCTCTTATACTCATTTTCTGCATACTTCAAACCTTCATCTTTCTCTCACACTCTCTCAGTTACCTTCTCTCATCCTAATTCCAAAAACACAAATCACAATGGCCACGTATGAACCCCTCATCCCCTCGTTCGAATTGTCCTCACTAACCCAATCCCAATCTATAGAAACATCACCTACCACGCCAGCGCCGTCACCCGCTCCGAGCGCAGCGCCCTCCGTAACCAGCGCGGCCTCACAATCTGGCTCACCGGGCTCTCCGCCTCGGGCAAATCCACCATCGCCGTGGAACTGGAGCACCAGCTGCTCCGCGACCGGGGCGTCTCCGCCTACCGGCTGGACGGCGACAACATCCGCTTCGGCCTGAACAAGGACCTGGGATTCAGCGAGAAGGACCGCAACGAGAACATCCGGCGCATCGCGGAGGTAGCGAAGCTCTTCGCCGACAGCGCCACCATCGCCATCACCTCGTTCATCTCGCCGTACAAGGCCGACCGCGACACCGCGCGCAAGCTGCACGAGGTGCCGACGCCTGGCGAGGATACGGGCCTCCCCTTCGTCGAGGTATACGTCGATGTGCCGGTCGAGGTGGCGGAGCAGCGGGATCCCAAGGGACTGTATAAGAAGGCGCGGGAAGGGATCATCAAGGAGTTTACGGGGATTAGTGCCCCGTATGAGGCGCCGGATAAGCCCGAGGTGCATATCAAGAACTATAATTTGCCCGTGAGGGATGCGGTTGCGCAGATTATTGCGTACTTGGATGAGCAGGGGTATTTGCCTCCTAAGAAGGAGTAGATAGATGGGTTGTTTTTGTCATGATAGATCTTGGAGATAGAACCGTCCTTGCCAGTGATTTGTACATATATAAGGATCAGAGATGCAAAATGATACAGAACTGTATATGTACGCTATTCAATGGGGTGGTATATAGTACCAACGTAGACAAATAAGCACAAAGGAGACAAGACCAGGAGCGTAGCACGTAATCCTGCCATCAATTGAATTCAAACTCGTAGTACACATACGCAGTGTACTCGGCGCCTCCGCCTTCTGCGCCCGCCTGCATCTCATGAGGGTCATCTCGCTTGACCCGGCCCTTCTTGTCTCGCCCAAAGGCATTTCCGGCGAGATACGAGTATTTCTCATCGAGGTTCCGTTTCGCCCTGTCGGCATGTTTCGAGGATTGCGTCTACACCCACAAGTTAGTCAAGGGGAGGTTCACCGTCACGGATCCAACATACTCTGATGATCGTGCAGACGAAATCCAGCGGCAGACCATACCGTAGGACGGTCTCAACAAATACCCGCAGAACAAGCACATGGATCCAAACCATCACGGCCTCACTCCACGCTGTCCGTCCAAGCCGAAGAGTCTCACCCCAGAGCTTGCGCTCGTCCCCGCCCACGCGTTCGACCTCCTTTCGCTCTTCTTCCTTTCCGCCTTCTACATACTTGAAATCGCGTGGGATCCACTTGTGCTCACGACACCGGTGGACGAACTCCGGGCTGTGCTTCTTGAACGTCGTAACGGCATAGAGCGTGAACTCGTCATCTGATGCCACAAGGGTTGCGGATCGGGGGACGACCATGGGTGCTACGGTCTCATATGTCTTGAGGAATTCCTTCACTTGCTGAGCGGGTACGGCGACGAGGTGCGTTTCGATATATTCGGAATCGCGGACAAGGGTGCGGGGATCAACGACTGATGCGAGGGACTTGGTGGAGAGGTTTCCTCTACAGATCAAATCCAAATTAGCAAAATATTGAAGCAAAAGAAGTGTTGCCTCACGTTTGTTTGCGTTGAAGAGTCGCCAGCGTATTCTTCACCTGGTTGTATTGAGAGTACTTGGACCGAACGTCATTGTCGATACTAACAGCTTCCTATATGTCCATTAGCTCTTGCTGGGTTCGTCATAAGACCCACGTCAGTACCTTCTGCAGAAGATCGATCAACTCTCCCAGCGGCTTATCAGCGCGATACTTGACCTTGTTCCACGAGAATGTCCTCAGATACTGATCAACGGGCTCTACATTCAGTTAGCAAGCAGGTTTCCCCTCCACAACGGCTGAACACGGCGCAGTGTAGGCATACTGTCATTGACAGTCTTCATCTTATCGATCTGCTCTTCATCTCCCTCGAGAACGCTCTTCAACGCATCTCCGACCTTGGCGACGACACCTTGGCAAGAAGCTTCGAGTTTCGCCAGCTCATCGGCCTGCTGCACAAGAGCGTCGAGGGTACCGATCTTGAATTCCGGGATGGGGAAGGGTGCTACGGAGCCATTGTCTGGCGATACCGTGGCAGAAATAGCATCGAGAGCGTCATCGCGGTGGTGGGAGGGAGTGATGGATGTGGGGAGCGAGACGAGAAGGTACTTGTTCGACTTGGACATGGTGCCGGGGATACGATTCAGGACGGACTAGTAGGATGTATAATTTCGAACGATAAAATGGGCCGTCACACCCGAGCAAAAGGGAGTGAGGTAGTCAGATAGAAAGCTCGGCGGACGTTGGAGGTCTGGTTGTATGGAGCTTGGAGCTGGCGGTCATCGGAAGGTCCGTCGACGGAGGCGGTGGGCCATGTTTTGGCGTCACAAATGTGATATTGCGGACTTGATAGCAACGATAATCATAAGCATTTTAAATTCAGTATGCATTGAGTGTAATCGATTGTGCCAGTTGCCAATTCATATTAATGAAAAATATCTCTTCTTGACAATGCGGTATGTTCTCTATCCTAGAACGTATGTACCTCGAAATATGTACAGTGTCGAAAATGCTCCTCCCATCTAGGTATACGCCCAAAACAAACAATACATTATAAATCTCTATATTGCCCGAAACCCGACCTCTACATATTTCTATCCGCTTGGTCCTGAACATACTAGTTGGTAACTTTGTACAGACTCGCCATGGCCTGAGATCATCGTCAGCACATTATTTCCAAATTTCCCGGATAGAGGACTTACCGCAGCCTGCTTGGGTTCAACAAACAGAGCCTTTGCTTCCACCAGTACGGCTGGCTCTTTACCATCCTCCGGAAGAGTTTCGATGTGCGCCTCAACCCAAGCCTTCCGACCCTCCACCTTGACCGTCTTCGCCTTCAAGACAGCATAGTTGTTGGCCATCGCCGGGCGTCGGTAGTCAATGTTCAGATTGGCCGTCACACCCACTTTGTTTGGCAACGCGGGGAAGCAGCACCGGGCCATGGACTCATCCAGCAGTGTGGCCAAAAGACCCCCGTGCACAATGCCAGGATGACCGGACACATCTGAGCCAAGGTAAAAGATGGCGGTCAGACTCTTTCCGTCCTCCTCGCAGAAAACATAAGGCGGCACCACAATTCCGCCTGGGGTCGCAAGGATACCAGCCGTTAGATGACGCGCACGCAATTCTTGCGGGATCTTCAAATGTGGTCGCGATTCGGTGTAAGCCGGGTTTTGGCGTAAAGCAAGTGTCACAGGATGATTGTAAATATAGTCCTCGACCTCCTTCGTGAACTCATCGGAGGGTACAAAGGCAGTGAGGGTTTCCTCGTCGGTGGGCAGGCTGGCAGCCATCATGCGCGCTACGGTCTTCTGAGTCTGATAAGCGAGTCCGGTAGAAAATGCGACAATGGCAATGGCCGTGAATCCGACAATGCGACGTAAAAGTAGGTAGGGTTTAGATGATTGAGACTGCGCTGAAGCTGCAGCAGATGCGTTAGTTTTATCCGGAGTCACAGCAACCTGACGGATCGAAGCTTATCACATGCGTACCTGTGGAATACTGTCTGTGTATACGAAGGCCAAGGAAGCGTGGACAAGTTGAAGAAAGCTGGAGCGTCCGATTGGGGATCTTCGACAAGCGTTGGGACTTCGTAGGCAGACAAGAAACGATATACGGGCCGTGCTTAGTGGAGACTTGCCGAAAGAAAGCTCTGGACGGGACTGGCGGCCGCATGGCCAGAATGATTGGAAACGAGATGGGCCGGGAAATGGAGGTCTGAAGCTGGAGGTCTTCTTTGATTATGGGTCTGGAAGACTGACTCGCCTCAGGACACGGAGATAGGGAAGAGACGCAGTACCTCGGATGTTGTCAGGATTAGCAATGGCTCCCAAAAGCGGGCATGAGGCTGATCGAGGGGCCTCTCCACAGCTTTCAAGTAGTATATAACCCGAATTTGGAATCCTTGAGTATTCTGGATCTCAACTTCACGTTCCAAGAGATCCTCTATCTATGTACCTAGTCTTTCTCGCTGTTGGGGATGTGGAGGAGAATGGATAGAATGCAGCAGAAAAAAAGCGGAAATGGCAAAGTCCGATTGGCGGATGGCGGAGCGGATCAGTCAGGAACCTCGGCTGATAAGGGAAGAGAGAGAGTAGCAGGGAGGATCGTCATGAGAGATGAATTGACGTTGATCGATATTATTATTGCTGGTGTAGAATGCACTGGTCACATAGATTGGCAGGATGAACATCGATGTCATCGAGTACAAATGATTAACCTCATTATCTGTCCGAGATGAGACCTACCGCTATGATCTCTCGGACTCTCCTCGGACCCCCTACGCGCTCTCCATAACCCCAACAATCATAACATGGTCAGATGTTCCTCATTCAATAGCACTTATTAGGAACTGCTTCTAGTATGCAATGTGCTTTACTCCTGCAACTGACCGTTACAGCACTAATGCATCCATCTGCACCTAAGTCACGTCGGGGATTTATCACCTCTCACCTTCCACCTTTCAAAGCCATCAATCAATAATTGATCCTCCAGTTACTTCACACTTAAACCATCCTTCCCTAACCAGGATGTATCAACCACCCTTGCTCAGGATCGTCAGGGGCATAGGAATGCAACACTGCAGAACATCCCACCAACACCGCGCCCCTTGATAAGAATGCGGTGCGACGTGAGGATGCTGCTTTTTCGATTCCAATCTGACTCTGTATCTGGCAGACAGTCGGTTTCTGTCCTTCTTTCGTAGGCTACGCCTATGCTGTAAATTATACTTTACTGTCATTCTTTATGTGATATATCCAAGCTTCAGTCGCTCATTATGACTCGTCTATCATTGTTCGTTCTTTCTAGCATCCCCGTGGCTTTGGCCGTGACCAATTCAACATCTCTAGACTACGACGTTCTGCAATACGTCGATCCACTCATAGGAAGTGCCAACGAAGGTATGTTCTCGAGATAGAATTTTGACTGGTGCAGACGATCGTTCCCTGACACTTTTAATAGGCAATGTCTTTGCTGGTGCATCGCTTCCCTATGGCATGGCCAAAGCTGTAGCCGACACGGATTCCCAAAGCAACCAGGGAGGATTCACACTCGATGGCAGCAATATCACTGGGTTTTCAAGCTTGCACGATTCCGGCACTGGAGGAAACCCATCCCTCGGAAACTTTCCATTGTTCCCTTATGTCAAATGCAAAAATGACGACGTCAATGGTTGCGTTTATCCGAAGAAACAGCGCAAGACCGGCTATCATGCGGACTCTGTCAAAGCTTCTCCTGGATACTTTGGGCTGACCATGAACTCCGGCATCAAAGTCGATATGACAGTCTCCCATCATACGTCTCTGATTCGTTTCCAGTTTCCCACCGACAGTGCTTCGAGTCCGCTCATCTTGCTAGATCTCACAGACCTGTCGGATTCAAGACAGGACAACGGAACAGTTTCCGTCGACGCTTCTACCGGACGCATGACGGGCCACGCGCGTTTTCTGCCCAGCTTCGGAAGTGGATCCTACGTGCCTTACTTCTGTGTTGACTTTCAGAGCAGCTCTGCCGTTCGCGATAGCGGGATATTTGTCAATTCACGCGCAAGCACGGACGTGAAGCATTTGAAAATATCTCGGAGTATCAATGGATACCCTCTTCCTGTGAGTCCAGTGGAGGTCTGATTCATCGAAATCATTTTTGACAGAATGCAGGGAGGTGCATTTGTCCGGTTTGATGCTGCTTCGGATATTACCGTGCAGGCCCGAGTGGGTTTGAGCTTCATCAGCAGTGAGCGGGCATGCTCGAATGCTGAATCTGAGATTCCGAATTTCGATTTTGAAGCCATACGCTCAAAGGCTACGGAGGCGTGGCGGGACAAGCTTGCTCCTATTCGCGTGTCCAGAAACGGCGTCAATGCTTCTCTTCTTACCAACTTTTACAGTGGCATCTACCGTACATTGATCAATCCGCAGGATTACACTGGGGAAAACCCACTTTGGGACAGCAATGAGCCGTACTTTGACTCTTTTTACTGGTAGGTTCGGCCGATTTCCAACGCGACTCTCCTAACGCTTGCTAGTTTGTGGGATTCTTTCCGGTCTCAGCTGCCCTTTTTGACCATATTCGACCCTGCATCGCTGACACGGATGGTCCGCTCGCTTATTGATACTCAAAAGCATCTGGGCTGGCTTCCAGATTGTCGTATGTCTCTTTGCAAAGGTATTATCAACATGCCCACGATTACATTCGCGTCGACGCACTGACCAGCTGTAGGGTACACTCAAGGAGGATCCAACGCAGACGTCGTTCTTGCCGATGCATACGCCAAGGGGATTTCCGATGGCATCGACTGGGAAGCCGGTTATGCAGCCGTTCAGAAAGATGCTGAGGTAGAACCGTACTCCTGGTCAAACGAAGGCCGAGGTGGGCTGAACAGCTGGAAATCGCTGAACTACATTCCCGTCGAGGACTTTGATTACATCGGTTTTGGCACTATGACCCGCAGCATTTCCCGCACTCTTGAGTATTCTTATAATGATTTCACCATCTCGCAAATGGCGCGTGGCATGAACAGAACAGACGATGCAGAAAAGTATGAGAGGAGCTCGGGTTACTGGAGAAATCTGTTCCGTGAGGATCAGACTTCGTTCATCAATGGTAACGATACTGGATTCAAGGGCTTCTTCCAGCCCCGATATCTGAACGGCACTTGGGGGTTCCAGGTTGGTCTACCTTTATTGGTCCTCGCGGAATTCGCCGATTGACATGGATGCAGGATCCTCTGACATGCTCAAACATCGACACCAGCGGGAGATCATGCTCACTCCAGAACAACGCAGCAGAGACGTTTGAGTCCAGCATCTGGGAATACCAATTGTAAGAATCGCCGTCATTTCAGCTCTCCAGGCTCACAACTGATCCGACTGCAGCTTCGTTCCTCACGATATGGCCGCTCTCGTTGCCCTTCTCGGAGGGCCGGCCCAATACGTCCGACGACTCGACTATCTCCACGATCAAGGAATCACCTACATCGGCAACGAGCCAGCTTTTCTAACCGTCTTCCAATACCACTATGCCGGCCGGCCCGCCAAGTCGGCCTCTCGTGTGCATTTCTACATCCCCAAATACTTCAACCCAACACCCGCAGGCCTCCCGGGCAACGACGACTCGGGTGCCATGGGCTCCTTCGTCGCCATGTCAATGATGGGCCTGTTCCCTAACCCCGGACAAAGCGTGTACCTGATCACAGCGCCGTTCTTTGAGGTCGTTCGCATCAAGTCGCCGTTGACGGGCCGCACGGCAACGGTCCGCGCCAAGAACTTCGACTCTACGTACCAAAACATCTACATCCAGTCTGCCACGCTGAATGGCAAGCCGTACACAAAGAACTGGGTTGACCATGACTTTTTCACGGAGGGAAAGGAGCTGGTGCTTGTTCTGGGTCGGAACGAGAGTCGCTGGGGAACAGCCGAGGAGGACTTGCCTCCTTCCTTGTCGACTAGGGGAGGGGTCTCTTCTACGGGGCTGAGGCAGAGAATGGTTGATTTCGACTCCGCTCCTCTCCAGTTCAGCGAGTATGGCCACGCGAGGCGAAGAGGTCACTCTTTTCCGTTCGCTTACCGGCACCATGTTGTTGGCAAAGAATTTACCCATGCGTAGTAGTTTGCAAGTTGAGGACACATTGTGAATTTTGCTTCCAGATGACTGCAGTCGCTAGTGTCTAGCCCTTGTTGAATCATGGACGAACGCTATATCATCCCGTCATGTTGAAAATGGACACAAACTGAAAATCTAACTGCCATCGTAACTATTTACATAAGAGCATCATGAAAAAAGAAAAAAAAGAACGAATTCCTCAAGCCTTGGGCCGATAGAACTTGCTCTCCACCCAAGGCATACCCGTAACCGTCGCCTTGCGGATCTTATTCCGCACCATCACCCCGACCTCGGTCCCCTTCTTGTGCATGCCGTTCTTGATATAGCCCATGGCGATATTAGTGCCGCCCAGCGACGGACTCGGCAGCCCCGAGGTAATAACGCCGATCTGCGGGTGCGAGTCATCATTCAGGTCGACGACGACGGCGCCCTCGCGCGCGGGACTGCCCTTCTCGACGGTGAAGCCGACGCGGCGCTGCGAGAGGGTCTTCGCAGGGGATGCGAGCTGCGGGAGGATGGCGGCGGCGCCGTTGAAGGTCGCCGTTGCGGGGTCGCGGCGGTCCTTGCCGACGATCCAGCCCAGGGACGCGACGGGGGGTGTCTGCGCGGTGGAGATGTCGTTGCCGTAGAGGCACATGCCTGCTTCGAGGCGGAGGGAGTCACGGGCTGCGAGGCCAGCCAGCCGGACTTGCTCCGGGTTGGCGAGGAGGAGCTCGGTGATTTGCGTTGGGAGGGAGGGGCAGCCGGCTGTGGGGATGGAGATCTCGAAGCCGTCCTCGCCGGTGTAGCCGGTCCGGGAGATGAGGAGGGGCTGCGGGGTTGGGGTGCCGTCAGGCAGGGTCAGGTGTAGGGAGCGGCAGTTGCCGAAGTAGAGGGTGCTGAGATCGGTGTCGGCGGGGGACGCCGTGCCGTGGGAGCTGATCAGGGGCTGCAGGACGGAGGCGGCGAGCGGGCCCTGCAGGGCGACGAGGGCCCGGTCATCGAGGATCTCCCATTTGATGCTGTCGGCACCGTGGGTCTGCCTGTACGCCTCGATCTCGGCCTGCAGGAAGGCCAGGTCCTCGGTGCGCCGG